TGGACATGGGGAATCAGGGGTGGAAAGGAGGAGCTTGCTGTCACAGTATGGGGAGAGCAATTAGGGTCACATAACAACGTATGTATAAATTTTTGTATGGGAGACTAACTTGAAATGTAAACTTCATTTAAACTACAACAATTAGGGGAAAAAAAAAAAAAAAGACTACACCCTTCAGTATGGATTACACCTCAACATAAGGAAAACAAAAATCCTCACAACTGGACCAATAAGCAACATCATGATAAATGGAGAAAAGACTGACATTGTCAAGGATTTCATTTTACTTAGATCCACAATCATCGCCCACGGAAGCAGCAGTCAAAAAATCAAACAATGTATTGCATTGGTCAAATCTCCTCAAAAGACATCTTTTGAAAAGCAAAGTGTTGAAAAGCAAAGATGTCACTTTGAGGACTAAGATGCACCTGACCCAAGCCATAGTATTTTCAATCGCCTTATATGCATGCGAAAGCTGGACAATGAATAAGGAAGACTGAAGAATTGATGCCTTTGAATTATGGTTTTGGCAAAGAATATCAAATATACTATGGACTGCCAGAAGAATAAACAAGTCTGTCTTGGAAAAAGTATAGCCAGAGTGCTTCTTGGAAGCCAGGATGGTGAGATTTTGTCTCATGTACTTTGGAGATGTTATCAGAAGGGACCAGTCCCTGGAGAAGGACATCAGGCTTGGTAAAGTAGAGAGTTAGTGAAAAAGAGGAAGCCCCTCAACAAGATGGACTGACACAGTGGCTGCAAAAATGGGCTCAAACACAGCCAACAATTAGATTGTGAGGATGGTGCAGGACCAGGCATTGTTTCATGCTGTTGTACATTGGGTCGCTATGAGTCAGAACTCGCTTGATGACACCTAACAACAACAACAATATAATCATAAAACGTCATTATTCGGTAATAAAAAAATTAAGTATTGATACACACTACAACATGGATGAGCCCTGATAACAGTATACTATGTGAAAGAAGTCAGTCATAAAGGACTGGCTGATTCCACGTCCCGTGATTCCACTCATATGAAATGTCCAAAGCAGGCAAATCTACAGACCGAGAAAGTAGACTAGTGGTTTCCTAGGGCTGGGGTGGGTTAGGGGCTTGGGGGTGATGGCTAAGGGATGTGGGATATCTTTCTGGGGTAATGAAAATGTTCTAAAATTTATTGTGGCGATGAATGCACAACTCTGTGACTGTACTAAAGGATACTGACTTGCACATTTTAAATGGTGACTTGCATATTTTAAATGGTATGTATGTCAATTAAAGCTCAATAAAGCTGTTTTAAAAAATGTGAATATTAAGGTATATAAATTATATCTCAAAAACAACTGTACACTTTAAAAGGGTGAATTTTATGGTATATGAATTATATCTCAGAAATTTTTAAACTGTCATTATTAGTTAACTATTCATCATATACATCAACAACTTAAAGGATTAAAATTATTAAGAGGTAATTTCCACAAGTACTTGATGACATATATACTTAAAAGATGCTACTTTTACAGTAGGCATTGCATGTCTATGTTTTTTAATAAGGTAAAAATAAGGTTAGTCATAGAAGTGGGAGCCATGATAATTTGTCCCAGGTTTCTTTTGTCCAAGAAAGAAGGTACCCTTCTTTCAACTGGTAGTATAGGCAGCTGCTTCTGATTTCCTTTCATCTGATATTTCTACACAAAAGTCATTTCCTAATAAGTTTTCATAAAAGTTGACACAACCAATTTAGAAAGTTCTTTCATAAACAGTGAGATGTGTCTTTGTAGCCTTGCAGCACAGACCCAATTTACTTGGGGGAAGAAAAATAAACTATGTTAAAAAAAATCTAAGAGTCTAAAATCACTTCTAATTTTTGCCTTATAGAATTTTATCCTGCCAGTTTATAAAACCACTGTGAGTCACAATCTGCAATAACGTGAAGCTGGCTCTTGTTCAAGATATGGAAGCAAATATGCCCTGCCTGGTATTAAGAATCTTTATATAAGGAGCCCAAGATACTCCATTTCATTAAACTCTACAGCTCCCTAGCCACTTGTTAAGCACAGATTTAAGTACTAAACACGGATGTTCTCTTCTCCACAATTTTAAAAGCACAAGTAAACCGAAGTGGATTTTATGAAAAACACACCCTTTGCAAGTCCCCATACCAGCAGTACAATCTCAGACAGCCACTTCAACTCAATTCAGCACAATTATTTAGGTCCACAAGATAAGAGATTGCTGCTTTAGTTCATTCTGTAGAATCCCTCAAACATTGAAATGTCCCTGTGGGGCTTCAAATAGTAAGAAAAGTAGCAATATGTGCCAACAGTAAACAAATCTACCAATGAACCCCGGGAAACAGAAGTAGCATTAATTATTATTACCTTTGAAGATGCCTCTCAGGAGTGCTCCAGCAGCTTTTCCTTTCACTGCTTGATTCTGAAGAAGATTAGCCAGCTGCGATCAAAGAAAGTCAAAGCTATAAGTTTCTGGCAACAGCCAGCCCATCTTCTCTACCCCAGTGACCCTAAACTCCCAATGTGAAAAAGCATTCATCTCTCAAGTTCATATCAGACTCCAAGTATCACAAATAGCATGATATTCATTTAGATAAAGCAGGGCAAATCTTAATTTTATGCTGGGTTGTCAGGACTGAAATCTATTCATACATTCATTCTACAAACATTTATTGAGTACTTAATCAGCACTGGGCATTGTGCTATGTTCTTGAGGCTGTACATTCATTCAACAAATATTTTTTGAGCCTGTTCTTTTTTCTAGGCATTAGGGAGGGATAAAGGATGACCAAGGTAAACATAGCAATTTAACTCACAGAGTCTACAACAGGGCAGGAAGGGAAAGGGTGACAACTAAAAATCAGAAAGAAATATTTGTAAAGGAAACAAAGAAGTGACTGGGACAGACAGTAACTGAGGAAAGAGGAACAACTTCAACTAAGGTAGTCAGGGAAAGCTTCTCTGAGGTAGGTGACATTTAAGCAGAGACTTGGAGAATGGGAAAGAGCTAGTTACATTAAAGGGAGGAGGGAAGGACATTCCAGACAGAGTTATCATCAAAGGCCATGAGAGGGCAAAAAGCGTGCCTTGTTTGAGGGCCTGAAAAAAAGACCAATACGACTAGGCGGTAGTAAGGAAAAGAGTAGCACAAGATGAGTTTGGAGAGATGGGCAAGGACCAGATTATAAAGAATCTTGTAGGTCATGACAGGAAGTTTGGAGTATAGCCTAAGTGCAATAGAAGTTACTAGAGATAAAAGCAGGGGAGTGATATACCAGGTGTGTGTTTTTTTTAAAAAGTCATTCTTGCTGGTGAGTAGCATCTGAGGTCTTCAAAGCTTGCGCGCAGCCATCTAAGATACAACTATTGGTCTCTACTCGTCCAAAACAAAAGAGAAAGAAGGAAATCAAAAACTCAAAGAAGAAACTAGTCCACAGGACTAATAGTTTACACGAACCACAGCCTCATCTACCCTGAGACCAGAACTATATGGTGCCTGGCTACCACTACTGACCGTTCTGATCAGGGCCACAACAGACGGATTCTGCTAGAATGGAAGAAAAATGTAGACCTGAACCTCAAATTCTTATAAAATACAGACTTACTAAACTGGTTGAAATTGGAGCACCCTCCAAGATTACTTCCCTGAGATACTCTTTAAGCCATGATCCAAAACTAACCCAAGGTCACCTTTTATCTAAATAACACATTGGCTCACAAAATAAAGAGTATCACCCATGAGTACTGTGCTCCTTTACAAATCATCTATATAAAACCAAATGGTCAACAATTACTTTAAAACAAAGAAGAGAAGGTAAGGGGACAGGGAAACCAGATTAATGTAAATGGAACAACCAGAGCAGAAATAATGAGAATGTTCATGCATTGTGAAGAGTGTAACCAATGTTGCCAAACAATCTGTGTAAAAACTGTTGAATGGGAACCTAAACTGCTGTGTAAACTTTCACCGAAAACACAGTAGAAAATCATTAAAAAAAAAAAAGTCACTCTTGCTGCTGTGTAGAGAATGGGTCGTGGGGGGTTTAAGAGTGAAACAGAGACACCTGTTAGGAGACTGGTGCAGCGTTCAAATGAGAGTTTGGTGGCCTAGACCAAAGTGATGGCAGGAGAAACGAAGAAAAGAAGAAAGATTCAAGATACGTTTGAAAGGTGGAATCAATAGGGCTTCATAATGGTTTGGAAGAGAAGGGGAAGTGGTGATGAATGGAAAGAAAAAATCAAGAAGAACTCCAAAAATTTCTGGGTTAAGCAATTAACTGGGTAGATGGCGGCACCGTGTATTAACATGGGGAAAATTTAGGATTAAGCAACACCCAAATCACCCAGAGGACTTGTTAAAACAGATTGCTGGGTTTCATTCACCCCCAGTTACTGATTCAGTAGGTTTGGTAGGGGGCCAAGAACCACTGCTCAAGATATCCATGTAGAGATGTCAAGGAGATAACTAGATAGGCAAAAGTGTTTGACATTTGTTTTTAGCACGACATGCTTCCTAATACTCACATCATCTTCTTTCAGGTTTTGAAGAAATTTCTGGAGTTTGTCTGCTGTTTTTTCTGCAGCCAGAGATATAATTTTCTGATCCATTGTTGTTCATTTCAGGGAACTGTAAGGGAAAAAGGTCGGAGTTCAATGAAACTTCAGAAGTCAACAAGTTTCATTTTTTTTTCCTCCCCTATCTGTTCACTGAATATTTATTCACATCTACTATAAACAAGGTGGAAACCCTGGTGGCACAGTGGTTAAGAGCTACGGCTGCTAACCAAAAGGTCGGCAGTTCAAATTCACCAGGCGCTCCTTGGAAACTGTATGGGGCAGTTCTACTCTATCCTATAGGGTCGCTATCAGTCAGAATTGACTCGACGGCAATGGGTTACAGACAAGGTAAAAGGGCCGTGGTGGTGCAGTGGTTAAAGTGCTTCTCTGCTAACCAGAAGGTCAGTGGTTTGAACCCATCAGGCGCTCCACAGGAGAAAGATGTGGCAGTCTGCTTTTGTAAAGATTATAGCCTAAGAAACCCTATGGGGCAGTTCTACCCTGTCCTGTCGGGTCACTATGAGTCAGAATTGACTCAGTGGCAACAGGTTATAGACAAGGTAAACAGTGGATGCTCAAAAGGTTAAGGTCTACTAACTAATATCAGTGGGTGATTTTTATTCTAACCAGAGCTATCTCGAGAATTCCCTGGTCACTTACCCTATTATGAACCTGTATTCTAATCAAATGATTTCATAATTTTTGTCCACATTTTTATCATATTTCGTTTTTTTAAGGAGCTGTGGTGGTGCACTGGTTAAGTGCTCGGATGCTACCAAAAAGTTTGGTGGTTTGAACCCACCAGCTGCTCATGGGAGAAAGATGTGGCTGGAAGTCTGCCTCCGTAAAGATTACAGCCTTGGAAACCCTACGAAGCAGGTCTACTCTGTCCTGTAGGGTTGCTATGAGCAGGAAATCAACTTGACAGAAGTGGGTTTTTGGTTTGGGTTGGTTTTTTTTAGCATCTACCCAACACAATGCCTAGAACAAGACAGTCATTTAACAGTAGATCAAATATATATCATAAACATATATACAAGAATATATCCTTTATTAAAACATATAATAAAGTAATATTTGATAAATAAATGACTAAACCAACAGCCTAGTAAATGCTAAGTGCCAGTTAAATGAGATAAAAAAGGTGAGAAGTTCATATGACTAAAGAAATAATTGTGTGCTCAAATGTCAAGGATTCCCAGCAGAGGAAAGCTTGAACTGGAAATTTAGAGATTAAATTTAGATAGTCAAGATAACCAGGTGGTACATACTATTTTAAAAAAAAACCCAAACCCGTTGCCATCAAGTTGATCCCAACTCATAGTGACCCTACAGGACAGAGTAGAACTGCCCCACAGAGTTTCCAAGGAGCGTCTGGTGGATTTGAACTGCTGACCCTTTGGTTAGCAGCCACAGCACTTAACCACTACACTACCAGCGTTTCTGGTATACATTATTGTAAAGGAACAAAGGCAATCACAAGAGAATTTTAAAAATTTACTTGGGGGATAAACACACTGTGGTATATCCATACAATGGAGTATTACTCATCAATTAAATGAGTTATCAAGCTATGAAAAGACAGGGAGGAAGCCTAAATGCATAGTGCTTAGGGAAAGGAGTCCCTTGAATGGCACAGCTAAGAGCGTGACTGCGAGCCGAAAAGATGGCAGTTCAAACCCACCCGGGAGCATCTCAGAAGACAGGCCTGTCAACCTGCTTCCGAAAGGTCATATCCTTGAAAACCCTATGGAACAGTTCTACTCCACACACATGGCGTCACCATGAGTCGGAATGGACTGGACGGCAACTGACAACAAAGTGGAAGAAGCCAATGCAAAAAAGCTACATACTGTATGAGTCCAATTATATGACATTCTGGAAAAAGCAAAAATAACAGTGGTCAGAGGAATGTCGTGGGGATAAGGGAGGGATGAACAGGTGGACAGTGCATTTTCTTGGGCAGTGAAACTATTCTGTATGATACTGTAATGGTGGACATATGATATTAAGCATTTGTTAAAATCTATAGGACTATACAGCACAAACAGTGAACCTAATGTAAACTATAGACTTTAGTTAATAATGTATTAATATTGGTTTATTAATTGTAACAAATATACCATAGGAATACAAGACGTTAATAGGAGAAACAATGTACAGAGGAAGGAGGCATGTGGGAACTCTGTACTTTCTGCACAATTTTTCTTTAAACCTAAAACTGCTTTAAAACATGGTTTATTTAAAAAAAAGAGCTTATTTTGGGAAAATGAGTAGACTGGCTGAGGCAGGGAGTTCAAGTAGGGGCGGAGAGAGTAGGAAAGCTAGAAAAATAGGCTGGGGATAAACGTGAAGATCTTAAATGCCATGCTAAGGAATGAAGATTTTGTTCTGTAAATAACAGGGAGCTGCCAGAATTTTTTTGAGCAAAAGAGAACCCAAACCAGATTGAAACAGTGTTTGTGGAAAATGAATCTGGCATAATTGTGCAGATTAAAATGGGACAGGGTAAAGAGAAAGCGCAGAGACAATGAGACCAATTAAAGGGCTATTTTAGTGATAGTGACAGGCCTGTGGTGACTGGGGAATGGAAAGGAAGGAATGAACTGGAAGCATATTAGGCAAATAGTATTTATTAACCTACTAGCTATGGGAGTGGGAGGGGGAGTACAAACTGGTGGAAAGGAACCTGCTCCTGCTCCTCCACTTTCTCCTGTGTTCCCCATTTTTGTAAGTTGTACCATCATCCACCCAGCCGCTCAAGTTAGAAACCTGAGCAACATTGTTAACTTCGCCTTCATCCTCCATATCCACTATACCAAGGCCTGTCAATGCCTCTCCCTAAATATCTCTCAATCTGTATACTTCTATTCATCTCACTACTGCCACATCACTCCAAATCCACCATCATCTCTCACCTGAACTACTGCAACAGCTTCCTAACTTGTCTCCAGGGCTTCCAGTGGAGCCAGTTCATTCCACTTTGAACCCCTGCTGAGACTTTGCATCTCTAGCAAGTTCCCAGGAAGTCATATATAAGTCATCTAGGGATCTCGCTAAAATGCAGATTCTGATTCAGTGTATCTGGGGTGGAAATGCAAATTCTCAGCAGGGAACTTGTTAGAAATGCAAATTCTCAGCAGGGGTTCCAACCAGAACGAACTGGTTTAAGGCCCTGCTTGTCTCCCTCTGTACAGTAACTAGTGATCTCTTTGAAACTCAAACCAGATTATGTGATTTGCTCTCCATCCACCCCCATTCTCATCTTAAAACTCTTCAATGCCTTTCCATTG